GTTGTAGGGGAAGGCACGCATGGTTTTTGTGCATCAGGGGAAGTTAAGAATTCCTGAAATTCCCTTCAAGAGAACTTCTAATATGAAACATCTGTAGGAAGTGTGGAGTTTCATTAAAAGCACTTCTAAGGAAAATGACATGTTGACATCAGCTTGGTTCAAAAAGTTGCACAAGCTTACCAACCTCACGGTTCGTACTTTTCATTCACGATGGTTGTTTTTTCTTTTTTTGCACTCCTTGCTTAAAAACAGTCAAACAGATGTGAATCATGATTTATTTTCAAAGTATTAATTTCCTCAACTAGAAGCCTTTTGGAGCCTTATCAAAGGTCGAGCATTTCATTCTTTTTCTTGTCGTTCTGATATGATTTGGTTTTCTTTGAACCAAATCAGTGTCATTTAATTTGTGTAATTTAATGCTTTACATGTTCCACTGTAACAAAATTAAGTTGTTAAAAAGCAGTAAAATAAATTGCATCAGTCGTCTAAATTACCTTTTTATGACTAGTTGATTTTGTTAAAGACAAAACACTGATTAAAGTGGAACTGCAATTTTATGTTTGTGCTGAATTATATATATTTTACCCTAAACTACCTAAAACAATTTTGATTCATTCAATTGACCTTGTGTAAAAAAACAAAACAAAACAAAAAACAAATTTATTTAATAAAATATACAGTTTGAATGCAAATTAGAAATGTATTTAGAAAAAAAATGACCAGATTAATTTATTACAGAATAAAGTGTTCAATCAATGTGTTAAAATTAACCAACTACAGTCATATTTACATAATTATTTGTATATTTATTTCTATTTTTATTCATCATTATTATTGCCTATAATACAGATAAAACTTTTTAAAAATCTGCACTAAAGAGGACGAACAGTTGAAAGTCTAGATTTGTTTCTCCAGACTGAAACCAGCATTGGACTGTGTACATGGATTTACACATTTGTCCTTGAATTGGATGCATCGCTGACTAACACTACAAGCTATTAAATTACATTGCGCAATAGTTTAGCAAATAAAAAACCGAACACACGAGGTTTGCATTGTGCAGCACAGACTGAAAACGTTTGATTGCCTCGCACACGGAGGGTAAACCAATGCACCTGCTCAGGTATTGTCCTGCGTATTAGAAAACCTTCCACCGTCTGCAAATATGCACATCAAACAGCGTCCATTAGTTTGTTTGTTTGGCATAAAAATGGACTCCGTGGAAGCAATGCTATGTAAACTATTTAATCAGTCTGTTTAGACACCACAAGGTCCATTTAGACAAATGCACATTTTGTGTGTTCTTGCACTAATGAGCCAGATGGGGGAACCATTGCTTAAGTAAAAAAACACTAAATTTGATGGCCAGTAACTGCTGCACCAGTTGTCTGATCTTAATGATCTACTAAAAGCTAAACTCCACTGTGTATCAATACATACTGTAGTACTAATGGTAATGATGGTGTTCATAGCAGTACCACATTTAACAACACAATACTACATGGTAATATATTCCATCTTATACTGTGTCAATTAAATAGTCACACTGAAATTGGGATGGTATAAAATAGAATATGATGGACATTATTCATATGCATTTTGTATTTCTTCATCCCCTACAGGGTTTGATTGATTCATTTGTAGGTTTTATGAGATTTTGCTCTTATTTTGTTGCAGATTCTAGAATGTAGCATCTTATAACATTATGTTGGTTATCAGCAGGACTGCAGCCAGGATTTTAGTTACACCAACAACTTATTACATTTTCAAAAAACAACAACCTTGTTTGCAGGAAAAAAAATTGAGAAAAGAAGAAAAGTAGAATGCTCACCTGTAGTCTATATACTGGGTCAGACTTCCTCCGTTGAAATAGCTCGGTGCTGCCTCGTTGTTCATCATACTAAGGATCCTACAACCATAAAAGAAACCATGTCAGAAAGGGAATGACGATCAAAACACGAGCTCCAGCTCCCCTGCAGCAAACGAAAAAGCAAACACGGGCTCACTTGATGCCGGGGAACTTTCGCCTGACCTCCTCCGTAAACACAGGCAGGTTGTTGATCTTGTTCTTGTTGATGCACAGCGTGGTGACGCTCGGCATGTAGGGAAACTTGACGTGAGACGTGTAGTTGTTGCAGTCCAGGATCAGAGTGCTGAGCTTCTCCAGCCGCCCCAACAGAGCCGGGTTCCAATAAGAACTGAATGAAGGAGAACACGCTGAAGTAGAGCTGCTGAGGCTTGTTACTTAATGAGGAAATATTCATTGTAATGCATGTTTCTCTGTGGCTGGGATAGGCTCCATCCCCCCCGTGACCCTAGTGAGGATTAAGCGGTGTATAGATAATGGATGGATGGATGTTTCTCTGTGTGATGAATAGAATATCCAACTATGTGATCCTGCTGAGGGAGGAAGCCGATAATATGTTGTTTGAAATGACTAACAGTCATGAGTTTCCATCTAAATGCGGTACAAACCACTTTCATGCTAATGTTATGAGATGGTTGGTCATGGTTAATAGCTGTGAGCACAAATTTGCAGTTGCATGTCATTAAATCAGCGCAAATTTGCAGGAATATCAACAACAAGCCACAGTGTTGTCTGTTCCATTTCTTTTTTTAAATTATGTAGAGATTTTCTCAAGCTCATAGTATGTACAAGTCAAAAAGGCACAGATTTATGGCAGAATATGCTGCTGTTACTACAAAGTGTAGCACTGAAGAAACACAATTACATTCCCATATATACTGAACATTGTATCATATATATGGAGAGAGTGACAATAAATCATTTTACCTCAGAAGCAGTATTTTTTAGTTTTTACTCGTCAGTATTTTTATACCAACAGTAGCTCAGATGATGATGTGTGATGAGGAAGAGGCGGTTTATGGTGGCTCCATACAGCATCATAGGGACTTCTAACTTTATGGATTTTGGTTCTCATGTTCCGCATTAATCTTGTATCCAGCCGACAGCTGTTTTTGTTGGAAAACCGTTAATAAACTCACTGTACACTACCTGTCTGTCTCCAAACAGCACACAGTACTTCTCTTAAAAGTTGGTGGAGACCAAAAACAGAGCTAAAAACAAAGTGCAACACAGAATAACATTCCTAGATAGCTGAAATGTTATTATAACCTTTCATTACCGTAATGTCCTCCTTCTCACATACCTGACTCCTCTACATATCTGTGGAATTTCCAGACTTTCCCCACATCAGCTGATTCTCATCAGCCAACAGGCCTGATTTTCATTTGAGCCAATCATCAGCTCAGTAAATCCCCAAACTGACAGATTCATAAATGAAGAATATGTCACTGTTATATTGATAGATTTTCTTCACCCTTCAAGTGGTAGAGAAATAAATGAATGTTTCTTTAATGCTTTACAGCTGATCATCTGATTTTTGCAGGCAGCAGAACAATCTGAAAACACATTTTCACCCTATAAAGCTGCTAACGTTTTGGCTATTTGCACAACCTGAAGAAACAAAGCATGATCCAAATTGATTTCAAGTTGTTTCTGGAAAAAAAAACATAAGCTACAGTAAGCTCTTTAACTGCTAAATCCTCCACTGTGTTCACCAACTAGTAGCTGCATTTGTCTTTTTGCTGCTTGAGACTGTGCAAGTGTTTGGTTTCCTAAAGCATTTTGATGATTACTCGTTGGATTTTCTACCAGCAGCAGCTTTCACATCACACACAGTTATTGGCTCCATTCTAAATACACGAATATTGACTTATGCAGTACATGGCTGTGGTTGTTGGTCCGCTACCTTCTGCTTCTTAAGAAAAGGATACTCATCCAGCAGATTGTAGCTCAGGTCCAGCACCTCCAGCGAGTCTGTCTGCGTTAGTATGGTTTCATAAGGGATTTCTGTGAGGCCCTGGTAGGCAAAAGAGAGCCACTGAAAACTCGAGGCGTGGCTCGGTTGATTAAGCTGCCCGGAGGTTTGATGATCCATGACCAAAACCGCAGAACTGTAACCTCTTCTGTTCCCCTCCACTTGTCCCGATGAGAAGTCAGATGATTATGCCATGATCAGACCTTGAACAAACAACAAAAGTAACACAGCTTGAATGAATGTGGAAGTGATGATGCCATCACCCAAATGCTGTTAGCTCATCAAGGACATTGATAATTGACACACTTTATTATATATTTTATAAATACTATCAGAAAAGTTTGGTTCATTGTTGCCCTATTTACCCAGCTTCAGAAGAATACTGCAAATTTTCTTGATACATATGATCTATGACAGATTAATGGAGGTCACCTGGAAAAAATAATGTCATCTGAAATATACTGTAGTAGTGTAGTGTTAATGTAGCAGGATCAGTTATATAAGTAAAAAATAGTCTGCACTTAAATAGCTTATCTAGGTTCCACAAAGCACTTTACAATGTGTGTCTTGTTCACCCATTCACACACACACTGGTGTTGGCCTGCCACAGCCTCAGGTTGTAGGTCAAAAGAAATGGAAGTTAGTTTGTCATCTGTTGCTTTCTCATTTTTTTCTGTAACCTTTTTTTAAAAAAAAAATCCCATTTATACATGAAGTGGTACCTGAAATATTCTCTTCATAAATACAATAGTTTGACATTTTGAGGGAAAAAAAACTTTCTTTCCTTAAGTGAAATAAGACAGAGCTGGAATCAGGATGTACTTAGTCTAGCTTATCATTAACAGTGGAAGCAAAAGGGAAACAGCTAGTCTGGTATTTAGTGTTTTAAATGGCATCCCAACATGACCTCAGCAGCTGGGGTGCCATGACAAATCCACTTTAACCCCTCCTTAAAACATTAATTCCTGTACATTTAACAAACTAGGTCCAGCATGTGATCCACTGAGCTTTACTGGGTCAACCTTTCTGCTATAGACAAGTGACACAGATTCCTGCTGATGTTCTGAGCTCACCTTAATAAAGAAGGTGCATAAGCATGTTTAACTAAATGTTTAAATATAACTGTAAAATAAAAAGTCATTTAATAACAGCACATTAGAAGATCCACTCGCCCACCATATAGCCCATCAATAAATTGGTCATTTTGTGGAGCAGATTGAATCCTCAGCTGTGAATTTCTTCCACTATATAGCGCAATACAAAATTGTCACAAAGCGCACTAAAATGTGGTGATGTAAGCTGTTAGCCTACATCAGGCCATTATGCATTATGGTCTGTCTTTCAGATAGATCTGTGTGGAGCCGATGGAGATATACACCAGCCAGCCACAACATTAAAATCACTCACTGAGGAATTAAAAACATGGAAAACCTAACGTTTTGCTGAGAGATCTTGGATTCCACCAATCAAACTGTATTGATAAGGACTTGAAACTAATGATTAAGATGATAAATATAATAGGGGATTGTTGACTACGGTAACGGTTGAAGTGAGAAGAAGGCTTTAAAAAAAAAATTCTAAGTAATCTGACTTATTCGTGCAACCAGTTTTTGCAATCAGTCGCCTCCCAGTGGTCATTAGAAAGAATGCGGGTTTAAGGCACTTCCCCATTGGCTTCACTTTTAGGATCCAGAGGCTACATCCATATTTTATATTCAGCTTGTGGCTGAACCATCAATCACAAATTTGTGACTGGCCACACTGCTAGCGCGCCAACTGCTGCTAAAACAAACCCTATGGCTCGTGAGAAGTGACTGTATGAGGAGATTCTCTCCCATTTACACATTTTTATTTCTTCAAATCAAATCAAATCAGGTTTATTGTGATTTTCCTGTACAGGCAAGATGAGGGAGCGTTTCTTCAGGATCATTTAATTTGTAAGTTGTGCGGAATGCACGTCTGTGATAGACAAGACAGTAAACGTTAAATCGTTGTAATTGCAGGAGTTGCTCCAGGACTTTGGCGGTAAGAGATCTCAAGACTGTGTTATAAGTACCTTATAAATGATGTTGCAGAACCTCTTCTATGTTTCACCACTGTTAACACCTCGCGTCATTGGTGACCTGTTAGTTTCATAACCACTCACACCTTGAAGCAGAGAGTCTGACTGACTGACTGATTGGGAGTACCAGGTCTATATTGTCACCCATAAATGACATAATGACCCATTAACAACCCTAAAGCTCCTACAATTACCATGACCTGGATGGCTGACAATTTACTGAGACACAAGAGAACCATATTTGAGATTTGCAGCTTGCTAACGAAGAATCTGTACACAAGCTACAACAGCAACTGTTACTACTGCTTTAAAAACACATTTGTCTGATTTACATAGGTAACACAAATCCACAATAAGTACTCTTCCTCTCCACTTCTACCAACACGATTCGTGTATTATTTTCCATATTTTTCTTACATGTGATATGTTTGAGCTACTGGATACCTTAAGTTTCCCCGAGGGTGCGAATAAAGTACCGATCTATTTATCTGTCTGTCTATTTATTTATTTTTTTATAACAATTATTACCTGTCATACTTGGTGGGTATAGTACAGCCAAAAAAATGAAGTTTTATTTCAGTGCCATGGAGCAATACATGAGTTCCACAATGTTCTTATCAAAAAATAGCAACACTGGGGTGTCCAAGGCCTCAAACCTGTGTGACAGAGGTAATTACAAATATCTGGGGCGCAAATATGTAGCAATGTTACAACCAAGTGGTGTCTGAAATGCATCAACAGGTGTTATCCTCTAGTGAGTCTTTTATGTAGGAAACACTGCATGGTGGGTTGGTTAGTGGACGATCCAAGCACAGCTATGCAGAGAAAAATCACATTTCTTAGAGACAGTTGATTGACCTGATGCAAAGAACTAGTCGATAATAACAACCTTAAAACCAATAAACTCGTATAGGACTAAATAAAATTCAACAATCTGTAAAACAGCACAGACGCAACAACCTCCAACATTGCAGCCACAGGTAGTGTTTGTCATCTTTATTTTAGAACCATCTATTATGGATTGAATGCAGAGGCACTCGTTTTTCAGGCAAAGATTATTCATACCTTAAAGCTGTACAAATAGCATGCTCAAGAAAATGAGTGAAGCCGATTGAGAGCAGATAAACATGTCACCTACCAGCAAAGGATTCCTTTCATTCAACACCAATTATCTGTTCAAATGTGGGTCAAAACTTCCCTCCGATGTTCTAAATGCACATTTTAAAAAAAGAAATCAATCTTACACTCAGCAAAAACTCACTTTGTGAAGCCTCTAACACAAGCCTGGATACATCACATCCACGCGTATCTGTTCAGTTCAAGCAAGACTCACCGAGCTGAAGAGGAATCTGGTGTGTCTTTTTACCGCATGCCAACCTCTGAGGACTGCTTCCAGCGCATGTAAAAGGCTTTCTTTCATACCCCGCTGTAAGATCACATGATGGGGATAATCACATTGCTGCTTAAGCTTTTGGTTTGCAGGACCCACTGGCCCCACGTCCTAAGCATCAAGTTGAAATCTCAAGAAAACAAAAAATCACAACAGGGGCTTTCTGGAGAAATGCAAACATTAAATCTAGTTTGACAGTTGGTATTTCACTGACAGACACTGGAATAAAAGGTCCTTTATGATTATGCCCTTTCATGTTTAGATGTAAATATGAGGAATCTGCAGCATTTCCTGCAGGACGACGCATGCAAATGAATAAATCACACCTTGAAATTAAATCCTTTTATTTCATGATTTCCACTTTATTCTGATGTTTACGTGTTTATGAGTGAAATTAATCAAGTTTGAAGACATCTCAGAGGAAATGAAGAGACAAGGCCTGATTTTACTCCTTTGCAGAAGCATGGTGAAGCAAGGATTTGTGGGGAAAATTGAAAACAAAGTGGAAATAAAAATTTGCCGACTGCATCGCCCCTGACTGTACATTATGAATCTTCCCTTTTGCCTCCAAATTTCCAACACACATAGAGATTTTTGTTATATTTTCATCTGCAGGAAACCAATCCCATGTTACAACTGATGAAACACAAATTTATTTAAGAATATGTACAATATTAGCACAACATAAATTAAAATAACAAGTCTCACATCTTTGGAAACAATATCTGTTATTCTGTCTGAAATAAAAAAGTAAAAGGCACTAAATACTTAAAAACAATTGTGGTGAGCTTTACATATGTAACAATATTGGTTAAATAGAATAAATGCAGCGTAAACTAGGTCACTTAGGTACTCTGTGTAACAGGTTGCGCAACATCGTAATTCTCACAAATTGAATTATGAATCACAGAAACAGTTCCAGGAAAGTTCTCACTGATCATCACTGGAATGTTATTGCAGTAAAAAAAATGTCCTGAGGATCAGTCCTTCCTCCCGCAGCTCTTCTGAGACAACACAGTGAGACGCTGTGATACGCTGTGGGATTCAAGTTTTTACTGAACACACAAAGCGATGACCTCTACTCGTCTTGCAGTCCCTGATTTGCCACTTTGCTCTTTTCCACACCAGGACACACTTTCTGCTTCCCTTCATTTTGGACCGAGGAGGCGTCTTCCTCCAGTTGGTGTAGCTGACCGGCTCGCCGCCGGCCCACTCCCAGCGTCCTCGGCCCTCCCTGTCATTCAGGCCTTAGAGACAACGGGAAAAATCCGTCATTTTAATTTGAAGGAATATACTTTGAATAATGTTTTTGGTGCTGGCTTTGGGCCTTGACTGTTTTGGAGAAATGTACATAAAGCCCAGCCACAAACATATTTTCAGCTAATGTATAAAGATTTAGAAATGAATCAAATTAGCACTGACATGATGATGCGGGTCATTAACATGGGTTATTGTCTAATCAGTCAAATCAAATTGATTATCAACAAATTGCCAAAATACACCATTTCTAACAGCCAGACACTGTAACAAATATAAAGAACTGATCCATTTCATTTTTTTTTTTCCTTTCAACTCTTTAGTAGTACTTGTGGAAGAAATCACGTTTGGAATGTGATTACTTTGATAAAAAATAAAACAAATCTAAGCCTGAAATTGTCAATTCTAATCAAAATCCCCTTCGTCTACATATCAGATTGAAAATATTGCCAAAAAAATGAACAGTTTATTTCAGATCCTGTTCAAAAAGGAAAGTCTGCATTCCTCAGCACATGACTGACTCAGCTGTGACTAACAGTCACGTGAAAGAAATTTAATGGCTATTCGGCTGAAGTGCAGGCTGTGCTCCGGGCTCTACACAGAGCAGTGTGGTGAGGACACCCGGGATCTTTCTGCGTTGAGTTTGCATGTTCTCCCTGTGCAGCGTGGGTTCTCTCCGGGTTCTCCGGCTTCCTCCCACACAGTCCAAAAACATGTTGAGGTTAATTGGTGATTCTAAATTGTCAGTAGGTGTGAATGTGAGTGTGCTTGGTTGTCTGTCTCTAAGTGTGGCCCTGTGATAGACTGGCGACCTGTCCAGGGTGTCCCCTGCCTTCACCCTAAGTCAGCTGGGATAGACTCCAGCCCCCCCACGACCCTAGTGAGGATTAAGTGGTGTATAGATAATGGATGGATAGTTTGTTGTAATGCATGGAGTTCTAACTTTCATGTGTGGTTGTGCTGTGTCCATAGAGGAGCAGGACTTTATATTGCAGTGAAAAACAGAGAGTAAAAATGTGACAGGAGCAAAAGACAAACAAACAAACAAAAAATCGTAGAAACTGCTTGGGGTTTAGAGGGTAAATGAAAACGTGGTGAAGCGGAGTGTGATGATACAAAAAAACGAGCCTGAAGCCGGTGGCTGAGGTGAAGGTTGAGTTTTTGAGCTGTAGTAGAATGTTATAGCAACGCTTTTAGATGAGTAGCAGCAGAAATCTGTTCAGTATTTACTGTGTTGAGCTTGTTTTATTTAGATTACAATTATGCTAAGACACTGCTCTCACTTTGTGTAAGTGAGCATTTCAACACTCTTGTGAAGCTGGAAGTGCAGACGATCCCATTTCCAGCCAGCGAATGTCCTAAAAAGCACATCTTCTGCACTTTTCTGCACTGGTCTATTCTATTCTCTTCTACTTTTCTTAAAGAGGCTGTTTGCATAATTGAAATAAATACATTTATTTACATGCTTAACTTGAAATAGGAAACTGACACAACACTGTACACTCTAATGCATCCATGAAGTTTTAGATTAGGGTTTAAACAAATGATCAGAACAGTCTAAGTGACATAAAAAAATATATTTGCTTGACACAAACACACAAATAGAGCTTGACATTTTTTGTGCTAAGTCAACAAGTTTTAAATTTTTTGTACTAAGATTTATAAAGCTAACACAACCTTATTTGTTTAAGCTGATTTAAAAACACTGTGCGCTTACTGTATATTTTAATTACATGGTTTTTGTGTAGTCCTATTTTTTTTATTTCCTCTCAACAAAATAGGGTTTGTTCACTTTTCATGAAGGATTGCATTTAAAAAAAATTGCAGTTGTATATTGAACAAACAAAACAAAACAAAACCCACACAATTTTATGCCAATTTACCACCTTAGTGTTTTCTTGTCCATATAATTTACTAGATATGAATAAAGCTACATTAAATTTTATATAGCAAAAACACACATTATGTGTTTGGTAACAAAAAAATGTTAAGAAAGACAGTCGTGTGACAGTTAATTTGTGACAGGTTTAGTCTTTTTTTTTTGTGTGTGTTTGATGAGATTAAAAGTTTTGTGTGCCATTTTATTGTGTGAGCTAGTCGGGATTTACAATGTACATCCTATTAGAAGCAAATTAGCAGCCGGAGGGCCCCTTCAGTATAAACTCTCATCTAAAACTGTAAAATTACACATCATGTATTTCTAAATATTTTTTAAATCATCTTTAAACACCCACCTATCCAGAATGGTTTTCTTCCACTGAAGTCCCACAGCCAGTCCATGTCCCCTTTAGAGAAAACACTAGCGAGAGATGCTTTATATCTGAAATTAAAAAAACAAAAAAAACAAAGTTGTCTTCCTCTCCTATCCTCTCTAAAGGATATCAGCATATGAATGGGATTATACAAGTTTCATGTGTGACAGACAACAAATCAGAAGCATGTATATTCATGCCTCCCTCCTCATCATTTCTGTCTCGGTCTGTTAATTCAATACGCACAGTTTATGTGTTTGCAAAAAGAAACAGGATGTTAAACTGTACCTTTCTCTGCAGGCCCTGTTAGCTGTGCTCCATGTGGCCTTGTGCTCAGTACTGAGGATGTAGCAATGGCCGCCATGAAAAGTCCAGCCCTGAGGACACGTCTGAGCACTGACCATCTGTGTTTCAAGACAGAATGGGCAATTAATGCAACATGAACGTGTCTTATGTATTATTTTGTGTGTATTTTAGAAGTTTATCAGTGTTTCGCCAAAAGACCTCTTCTCAATCCTGAAGGAGTTCCGCACAGTTCTATCCAAGATCCACTGTTTTTCAGTTTTCATATGTCTAAGACTGCATAGGTGTTGGTCTTAATTGTCTGAATTCCCGTTGCTCCCTTAAATACTACAACTTTTTGATCAAGACAAACAGGAATCATTGTTATTGGTCCACAACATAAAATTTACTTTACTATGTCAGCAAATTATACCCAAAGCTCAAAATTTTGGTGTTACCATTAATTCCAGATGCATGTAAGAAACAACAACAACAACAAAAAAAAACCTCTTCCTTCCTCCACAGATGCAAATGGCTTAATTTACAAGTTTTTCTCTAGTCGTGAAGCTGGAATACCTGATCAGTTGGTGCCCAAGGTTTCCAGGAGACGCCATTGCAGTGAAAGAGCTGATTGGTGGTTTGGTTGAAATGCAGGAGTCCCATCAGTTCTGGTGCACAGGGTTTGGGGACGAGGCTATTAGCTGGGGTCTGTGAGGAACCAAAATTCCCATTGAAATGAATGTAATGTTGCTTCAAATTGAGGGTAAAAGCCAATATCCACAACATTTACAGTAAGAGGCAAAGGGAAAACATGCCAAAATGGTAAGACAAGAAACCAGATGCTGTTTTTGGTCCTAAAGAGATGAGAATGCCAGAAACTTCTTAGAATGACAGAAGTTCAAGATACTGCCAAAGGTGAATTCCAAGGACCACAACATTTGTACTCACATGACCTTTAGCCAGTCCTGTTCTCTGAGCTTTTGAGATCTTTCTTTGAGGATGTGACTTTGACTTATTAAGCACCGCTGATGGCTGCTGCTTTGTCCCCCTGCTGACCACCTGGATGTTCGCCTTTCTGCCCTTCCTGGATGGGGAGGTGTCGTCTTCTACTTGCATTTGCATGATGCCGTGATACTGAAATTGAAGAGAGAATGGAAATATGATCTGAAATATCATCAGGCTCTATCAGCTGCTGCTGCTGCTGCTGCTGCTTACTGTGTAAACTACGTCTGTTCCATTGTGGAAAACCGATGAAGGTGCAATCTGAAATACAAAACATGGAGCAGCAGTTTATAAAACGTTGTTCAGCTGATGGACCAAACCACTGCAAGAAGGAAAAACTGGCTTCTAGGATGAAATAATACTTCGATACTTACTAATTTTGGATTGCCCATCACTCTGACTTTCTTTTTTGGGACAGTTGCTCCTGGCCTGGAGATGCTGTCTCCACGGGTCCAAATAACCGATTCTGTACCAAGAGGAAGTTTCTCCAGCTGAATAGATCCATGCTGGGGGTATGTATCTGACCGAATCTCTTTGCCTCCAAGAAGAGGAGCCTCCCGATCCTGGTTTAGCCTGCACTGCCCTGTGGGTGTTTCAACAGTAGGGTTAGTATCTGCCGCCATCTTTTGCGCCCCAAAAAAAACATCATTTCTACCTCTTCCTGAGTCCTTGATGATGAGTTGAGCCTTGTTGATGCTGCCAATTACTGTGCTTTCAGGAGAAACCAGCAGCACTTCAAAAGTCTCCTCGGCCTCCTCAAGGTGATCTTGGATGATCTCAGTTTGCCAGCTCCGCTTTGACACTCCTGCATGGACATGACAGTGTATTGTATGATGTATAGTACGACATTTAAATGCTGAGATGTTTACATTTTTCAAAATAAATGTTTTATGCATTTCATTTGAGAACATACAAAACCATGACCCCAACACAGGTGTATATAATAAATATGAATATGTTTACATCCCGATCAATTGATGCAGTAACCTGATTACAAGAACCATTACTGCATTTTTACAATAGTTTGAACCCAGACACCACGACTGCATCATCAGGGTTCCTTTCTCAGACTTGACAGAGCTCTCCCAGAACCCCAGGAGACACGATCCAGCTGTTTATACAAGCAGAGTACTGACCACAACTAATGTGCTGATCCTCCCTTGAGTTTTAAAAGCATCACACAAATTCTCTCTATATTGAGCACATACCTGGATCAAACTGAATGAGGGAAGAGGGGTTGAGGAGGAAATCTTTTCCAGCAGTTGCAGTCACCTCCTTTACCTAGACAACGAAACACAACGTAGAAACACGTCTTAAAATCTGTTGGATGAAGGTTAGGTATCAGGTAAGTGATCTATGATGAATCAGTCAGAATTACAGGTTAAGATCTGTACAGCACAAATCTTCCTGCTTTAACAGCTCAACAGTTTCAGTGACAAATGACTTGCAGACCTTGACAGTGATATACGACGATTCTGCCAAGTTCCCCTTTCGTATGATGTCCAATGAGAGCGTTCCCTGCTGCTCACATGCAGAGGACTCAGCCTGAGACAGCTCCACACTGGACCACCTGAACTCGAGTCTGCAAGGACAAAGTCATGGGTGGGTAAGACTTAACTGTTAAGTTGCACCATAAAAATATCGCTCTATTGTTGTTTTTTCTTACATGTGAGAGGGCCCAGTGTTACCAAGAGGATCAGACACTCTGAACTCCAGACTGTCTGACAGAGACTCCCTGTCTGGATTGATGATGTATACAATAGTTTTTTTGTTCAGCTCCAACTGAGAGAAACACTGCGGCACAAAAACACCTGAAAAGAGCAAAGAAGAAGACTATTTTTTGTCATTTTATGCTACACTGAACAAAAACATGGTGAAAAAAAAAGAAAATCTTCCAACCTGTGGTAATGTTTTCTAGGTAACCAAAATAGGGTGGACGAGTGATGCAGAACATCAGCTCTACTTCTCTGCTGTCGCTGTCTTGAGCCTTCAGCTCTCGAGATGACAGAAAGATTCCGTATCGACCATCTGCTAAAAGCTCTACTTTCCAAAGTGGGAGCAGCTTCACAACCTCGGGAGACGACTTATCCAAAGGCTTGACCTAAAATTACACACAGTTTGATAAAGTAGGAGTCATAAACATTACATGGAAGAAAGTAGCTTCCACTTGTGACATGATGTGGAGATCCCAAGTCTGTGAGCCAATGGGACACAAAAAAAGCATCCAAACCGCACCCCCCCCAAAATAATTACTTAAAAAGCTTTATCACTCATGATCCAAAACAATACAACCATTCCTCCATGAAGAGAACAACTACCTCAGAACTACTGTGCCTGTAAAGGTCTGTGACATATCGGACAATAAGTACGTTTTCTTCTGGGAGAATTCCGACAAAGATGGAACAAAAGTCTCAACAAAAAGTCAGGAAAATGGCACATCACATTAAATGATCCTACTCTCTTCCCATTGGCTAACAGATCGAGGATCCCTAGATGTGACTGCCGTAGTTAGACCATTCAAACTCTCAGGATGCTAGAAGAGTTGTGCCCCAACCACAGTGTTTCTACAAAATACAGCCTTGAATACCTACCTGAATAGTGAAGAACACAGGCTCTGTATGTAACCGCCCGTCCAGCAGGAAGCCTCGATTGGTGCTGTCAGAGGCAGTGAATGCAAATCTGTCAATCTGCGACTGCCCCCCGTCATGTTTGTATGCCACTTCTAACTCCTGTATGTCCATCTGGGTGAAGTTTGAACCGGTGGTCAACGTGGTACCAGCTAGAACCAGTTTGCCGTACTGTGGAGGCTGCAGGAGGATGAAGATAAGGCCTCTGGGTGGCGTGTCAGGGTCTGACATGGACAGACAGTCAGGACCCAGGATCATGGAGGAACCTTGGGGGACTGTGAGGCCTTTGTTGGAGGACAGAGATGGCAGGACACGATCCACCATTTCCACCCCAATCTCAAAGCTTCCATTCCGGCTAGTTTTACCGTTACTTACAACAAACCTGGCAAAACATGGAAAGACTGGGTGTTAGATGATCCAGCCTGATGTGATCAATGTAGAAACTAGATGAGAAATTATATGCACATAGAAAGTGGATATCTTTAGATGATGCTTCAAGATGCTGCAGATTCGGCTTCTGAGGTCTTAATTTGTGGCTTAACTGGACTGGACAGTCATGATAAAGGTGTTTCTTTACCATTCTAATTATAATACCAGGATTAAACTGTAGGAAAAGACAGTAACATCTGAGACCCGGCTGAAATGGCTGGAGCAGGAGGTATTTGTGCAACTGCCGACAGCTGAAAACAAGGGTAAACTGTTTCTCAGTGAGAACCACCCAATGAGTAAATGAGTATCACATTTGAGGGAATCTGGATGCCCAAATGAACTGAAAAGCAGCTAAATAACATTAGCAATGGTGAAATGGTTTGCTGAGTCCAGGAACAGCTGCAAGGGAAAGGAGAGAACATTTGAGGAGGAATGTGACGAAAACAGCCCATTTATTTGAAAGCTTCTTTTCTTGTTTTGATACTTCTACTAGGGTAGCATTTAATATGCTTTCTACTCCATCCACCCATCCATCCATCCATCCATCCATTCGTCCATCCGTCCATCGCAATCACACCTATGGACAATTTAGAATTGCCAGTTAACCTCAGCATGTTTCTGGACTGTGGGAGGAAGCTGGAAAACCTGGTGAGAACCCACGCTGCACAGGGAGAACATCCAGAAAGATCCCAGAGGCCCTAACCGGGATGTGAACCAGGGAGCTGTGAGGCGACGGTGCTAACCCCTGAGCCACCTTGCAGCCCATGCTTTTTACTATGCATAGAAATTTTCCAGGTACACAAGTCACCCAAGTTGCATCTGCATGTGACAAATAAGTATTCTTGGACTCACTGAAAGGTTTCTTTGGGTGTGCTGGCTCGGTTGTCATGAACGTAAGCCACAAGGTTTGCTGCTATGTCCATCTGGCTGAAGGTGGAGATGACCAGTCCGGGATGTTTGATGTACTCTATGTGTCCGTGAGCAGGCGGGATGGTGATGACATACAGAAGCTCCTCTGGCTTGTCTGTGCCATCTGTGGCTAGCAGCACATCTGTTGTGAGAACCACGCGATCGCCTCGGCTGACGTTCACTGGCCTCGCAATGATGGCAATGTTTCCTGAACACCACAGATCATTAAAGATTATGTTATAATTAGGACTCCATCACAGTGATTGGCCAAAACATTAGGCCTAATATGCTGTTGTGTCCTGAGGAATCTGGCACCAAAACCTTGGTGGCAGATCTGTTATGCTGGAAGTTGGATCAGACTTGTTCGTGTTTAATGCTGACCTTTAGAACTCACTGTCATAATATTTTCCAGACCTTGAGATAATCCGTGTAATTCACTTCATCCATGAGTGGTCATAATGTTTTGCTCATAAAGCACGAGTAAGGTAAAATGCTGCTCGTGTGATCTGGCAGTCACGAGGACATCACAAGCAGGTAATTTCATCCAAACCTGTATCTAATGAAGAATTTAAAGACTAAATTCCAGTACCTTTTTCTAGATCCTTCACAGAGATCTGGAAGTGCTGTGGGGGTGATTGATTCTTTCCATCCAGCAAGTGGAACACAAAGAAGTCCTGTGTTTTAGCAGCACGGATGCCTGTGTGTACATAGCGCAGAAGGTTCATGTCCACCATTTCTTGGGTGCAGTTTCTCCCCGCTGACAGTGTCAGCCAGTTCCGACTTTCCTGAGACGGGATTAGTCACAGTTAGAGCTCGCCATCTCCCAGTAGCAGTGTATGGTGGGTTTATCATAGCGTTCTCACTGAAAATAGCTGTTTGAAATTAAAGGTGTAGATGGCAACGAATGTGGGCTTGAAAACCAAAACAACTAAAACAAGCAAAAAAAAGCTCTGTAGAACTGATTGGAACTGGATACTCCACACTAAACACTACTAAACCAATGGGACATATTAGCAAAAGACATTGTTTTGTTTTGTTGTTTTTTTTAATTTTAATGAAACCTCATGGCACTACACCAACCTTAAGCTGAAGGAGTCCTTGGGTTGGAACACTGTCAAATATGTACATGACCTCTGAGGAAGGGTTGTCGCTGTCCTGTGCAAATAACGTAACACTGGATATAAGTCTGGCGTCTCCCGGCTCCACGTCCAGTCCATTGTTCCTGTAGACCAAAAGATTGACGCAAAGTTCACTTTTCTTGTCCACAATCAGTAATGTAATGACTTGTTTCAACAGGAACTCTGATCATGTTGTTCATCTTACCTGATGACACGAGGCTCCTCGTCATTCACTGGCAGCACTTTAACCATCACCTGTCTGTGCAGTTGGTGTCTGCCATCGGTCAACTGGATGGTGAAGCTGTCCTCCATATTCTCAGAGTCATCATGCATGTACATCACCTCCATACCTGTGGGACGATGATGATACAGATTGATATGGCTTATTGATCATAGATCATTTTAAATAAAAGGTGCATGTTAGTCTATATTCATTGGTGACATGAGAATTTGTTTAATTAACTTGAATTTGTTACAAAATTCATTGTTCTTTTGAATTAAAGTGTCTTATTTTACAACCTGGGTTTTATAGCATGGTCAGTGTTGCTATTGCTCACCAGTTTGATTGCTGAGATCAATGCACCACCAAACTCTGGCTTTACAACATATTATTATTACTATTATTATTATTATTATTGTTATTGTTATTATTATTATTATTATTATTATTATTATTATCATTTGGAAGTTAAACACCCACAGTGTCTTAGACTGTGAAACTATGAATCTGCATATAATTAGGTACAGCATGTTAAACTTAAAAGTAGCAAATGCAATCTAAAGATATATTTTAATTATACCTAGAAGCAAGAGGAAATTAGCCTAGCTTAGCATGATGTACAAGTAAGGGGAAACAACTGGCGTGGCTTTATTTAGATGCAATAATATTTGCCTACCAGTCACAAGCAGAAAAATAAAAATTAAAGCTAGTATTAGTGGTTTTAGTGTAGTTGTATTAGTATGATTTTCTTGTGTACAACAACTGTGTGCAGCCTCCTAAAGTCTTGTCAGGTTACTATGAAGGAACTTACACAGTACTAAAACCTGTTATCACCAACTGACTAAATGAGCAACTGGCAAACCCCTAAAACCACATTTTATTGTTTGCTTGTATTCTGAGGTGTTGATTAGTGAGATAAGAGACGGTGGAGCTTGCATTTTAAAAATTTCAATCGAGTCACAGTAAGGTCAGAATTATGGTCGATCAGAGCAAGTTCTTATGTCATGCTGTTCATGTTGGAAATTGTAATGTCTTTATTGTCATTGTGGACCTCCATGCTGGAAGGCTGACTGAAACGTCTGCCATCATTAAAGAACGTGGATGCCACATTGTTTAAAAAAGCAGGTAAGGGCCTATATTGTCAAACTTTCCCTTTCTAGGAGACACTGATAGTGTTGCATTGTGTTATTCACATAAAAGATGTCACGAATAGTTGAGTAACAAATTTTTTTAAAAAACCATTGCACAGCTAGCCAAACCCAGTCGTTGAACATCAAGAAGATGTAGGGGGGCAGAGTTTCTAATGTTATCAAACCATTTAACGGCCAGATCGAGTATAAAAATCCTGCTAAACTTTATGCTAAGCTAGCCTTATTTCCTGTGTCTGTGCATCAAGCACGTGAAGTACAGACGGAAAAATTTTAACTTAAACTCTCACTTGTCTCTAAAACATCTACTGTGTCCCTTGATGTCAGCAATGAAGTTGATAAGTTGGTTGTCAAAACTGATTAAATCCTATGCAGGTTTTATGAGGAAAAAATGCACAAAAACAACATGCAGTCAGTCAATGAGGCTTCAGTACTAACATATAAAAAGTACCATTAATAAGATCTGTCATGGTGAAGTCCACCACAGTGGACTGAGGATTGGCTTCTCGTTTCTTGTTCATTGGTTTTCCACCACTGTGGTCGATGATGCTGCCATGTTGAGGAGGTTTGACTACGCTGAAAAGCAAGACGTTCCTGGGTACGTCCAGATCCATGGCATGCAACACCGATGAGTCCAGCTGCTTCATTTCTCCTTCTTGTACCTCATGACACAAGAAAGGCAGTGAATATGTCTGTGAGTAACATCTGATGGGAATGCCTCATCTAATCTTGATTAGTGAGACCATAAAAACTTACTGTGATGTTGCGAGCCACAAACTCTGGACTCTCGTCGTTCGTCGGGTTAATGATGATGTAGAAGGGGACGTTGGCAGAGCTGCGTTTGCCGTCTGATACACAGAGCATGAACTGATCAGCTGTAGGCTCCATCCTCTGGTGTCTGGACTGTACGTAGTTAACGTGACCCTCGATGATGTCTTTGTATGAAAAAGAAGCTAAGGAAAAGGAGGTTAGACCATAAGGACATACAACATTCAAGTTGTTTTGTTTCACCTGTTGTACAGTAATATACAGTATGTCGTAATGCTTACCTATGCTTATGCCGGTGTTGCTTTTCTCAAAACCAGGACTAGGAAGGACGTTTTCAATATATCCAAAATGTGGTGGAGAAATCAGACTGACCACCAGCTCATCTAGAACTGTGTCCATGTCAGAGGCTTTTAAATGTGACGCAGTAATTGGGGCGGTTCCACCTTCATCCACCATAAAGATGTCTCCTGCAAGCAACAGAAGACAAAAGATGTTACAACATCGAATGTGTTTCCCCACATTTGTTTGTTCGTTGATTCATTTGTTTTGCTTTGACTCTAGAATCAAACTTTAGAATTATTAAACATATAACAGGGTAAATTCTGTATTTTACTACTGTTTCTATTGGTTACGGTCCCCCCCAAAAAACTCTGTGAATTATTATTCCTTGGTAAATGAAGTTTGGTTGTAGTTAGAAATGTCCCACCTGTTGATAGAGTAGGTGGCTGGCTGTCGACAGGAAACACTGTGATCTGGAGGTCGTACACGGGCAGACTGTCTCGGAGCTGAGCTGAGCCTCTGGTCCTCATGGGAGTCCCTCCTTTGCAGCACAAAGCTGAGGTCTCTGTCTCCCCATCAGAAATAACGAAGGTGATGGTGTCATGGCGAGGAGTGAGTCCAATCTCCAGTCCTTAAGACACAGGCAGTAAAAGCACTTTTAGAGTGGGCCCCTACTTTATTGTGTTATTGCCCTGCTCTACAGTGTATTTACTGTATACGCAGGCCTGAATTGAACAACTTTATAAGAAGGATTTGCAGTTGAGCCTTGATTGGCCTCCATTACACTCTGCAGTGTCATTAACTCCTCTGGCTCTATTTGGAAAGATTAGCTGATCAATCAGGTAGCTGACACCTAATTACTGGGCAGCAAATTTGATAAATGATGTTGAACTCATTTTATTAAAAAGGGAAAAATGACTTTAATTGTAATATGATTGTAAATTTGTGTGGAACCATTTATATCCATCGTCCATCTCCATGCATGGATCCAAGTTTTATTTTCTTTAATTTCTCACTTGTCTATATATTAAACTGATAATCATATGTACTTTAAAGGGAATAGATGATTGATTGATGGACAACAGCAGGGTGCAGT